GTAACTCTGTAGGTGATTAGGGCCTAGAGGTAAAGGATGACATCTGATCTTGCAAGGTTAAGACTGTAATGTTGACATATTTGAATATTGTCAGGTGCTGTTACTGGCAATGCTGTCCTGTACAGACATCAGCATGCTCTTGCCTGGTTAGACCAAGGTAGGTTAGAAAAGCAGGCCTCCAGTTGGCAGTGGCAGTTCTTCACTGATGGAGATATGCATTCCGAGTTGTGACTCCGCAGCCCGTGCCAGGATTGCAGCAGCAGCAACAAGCTGAGAGAGAGGTATCTAGCTAATGGAATCGCAAGGTAGAGAGTGGCTGCAAGGGCATCCTGCTTTCTTCCAGTTTGATACAGTGCAAAGGGTACTGGGAGTCAGAAGACTGGGGCTCTAGATTCAGCCCTGGCACTAATTAGCTGTGTGACTTCAGGCAGGTGGCTGCCCTTTCTGTTTCAGTTTCTTCATCAGCAAATTGAGAATGAGAAAACCTGCCTTGTTACCTGAAAGAATGCTTATAAGGACAGATGAAACTTTATTGATATAAGGTACTATTATCATGACATCCTTGAGACCTTCTACATTTAAATATTCAAGAAAAAAGAAGTTAAGGATTGAGGATGTTTAGCTTGGTGAGTGAGGAGAGCACATTCAGTGATAAGATGGATGGAGTGACCACACGCAGAGAATTCCTCACCATGTTGTGGAAACCTCAAGAGTGAGCAGGATAGGGCAGGCCCCGTGGCTTAGTGGTTAAGTGTGCGTGCTCCGCTACTGGCAGCCCGGGGTTCGGATCCTGGGCGCACACTGACGCACTGCTTCTCCGGCCATGCTGAGGCCACGTCCCACATAGAGCAACTAGAAGGATGTGCAGCTATGACATACAACTATCTACTGGGGCTTTGGGGGAAAAAAAAAAAAGGAGGAAGATTGGCAATAGATGTTAGCTCAGAGCTGGTCTTCCTCGGCAAAAAGAGGAGGATTAGCACGGATGTTAGCTCAGGGCTGATCTTCCTCACAAAAAAAAAAAAAAAAAAGAGTGAACAGGATGGCTCTCGGAAAGCAGGGGAGGGGGGAGTGGGTGATGTTCTGCTGAGGTTCCATTGAGGCACCTCAACCTAGTTGCCATTTGCTATCTCAATTTTGTATGGGCCAGTGCTTTTCCTGAGCGCTTCAGTGCTGCCCAGCCACTTTGGTTACATCACCAATCTGGCATTTAATCTTAGTGGAATTAGATGTATCGTTTGCTCATCAAATTCCTAAATTATTAGAAAATACAGATAAGTTGATGGGTTTGTCTGCCTGCCAGCCTTTCTGTTTTCTCATCGGTCACGTTATCTCTGTGATTCCCTAGTGCCATCCTGGTCCCGCCCTCCTTCCCTTCCTCCTCCACTCCCTTAGCAGCATCTCGTACACGATGCCTTCTCATTCCACTGGCTGTCAGAAACTCAGTTTCTTTAGCAGTAGTAGTTTGCTTCTCCTTCTGTTGGAAAAGTGTTCTCATTGTACTCAGATTGCTTACAGCTCTGATACTTATTGAACAAGTGGGGTGAAAGCTAAGGACACTAATTCCCCTTCTGCTTCTTTACTCTCTGGGGGAGAAGCAGTCTCCCTTCTCAAGACAGTTTGGGGTAGGGGAAATAGCAGTTTCACAGGTATCCCAGTCTTCACTCCTTCCATCCAAGCCCCACGGTGGTTGCCAGACTGATCTTTCTAAATGGAAATGTTACTTACTTGCTCAAAGCCTGATGACTCCCCTCTGCCCACCAAGGCTCCATGGGCCACCCAGGCGCACAGATGGCTGTTTGTCCTGCACCATGTTGGCCTCTGCAAGGTTTAAAACAGTTTGAATTAGTAAGAACATTAAAGATTGGAAGATGTCTTATAAAATCCAGGATTTGAGTTTCTCTTGTAAGATTGTTAAATAGTAACACGGGGCACCAGGAGCCGGGTGGGGCCGCCCCTTAGCACCACATGTTCTCCAGATAGCACATCTATCACCCAGGCCGTGTCACTCGTTTACATTATCTAGGTACTTGTATTTGCTCCCCCCACCACAGGATCAAGTTCAACTTGGTTAGAGCAACTCCTTAGCAGGTGTACAGACAGGATCCTTCCCAATTTGGCCCCACCCTGCCCCTGCCCCTCACCTGCTGCCACCTTCCCATAGGCATTCTCACAGTAGCTGTGCTGCTAAATGGATAGTCGTTTGCCTGTTTGAGTTTGCTTACTCATATATTTTATTTTATTTTTTACCAAAGAGACCCATTTTGCAGATCCTTCTGGAGCATCCATTAGCAGCAGGGTGCGTGCCTGGCCTGGCCACGGTTATGGAGTGTTTCAAAGGAGTTATATTTTAGATTTTCGTGGTGTATTGATCCAAAGCTTCTGTGAAGGGCAAGAAGCAGAGGAAGGAAGAGAACGGATGGGGCCCTTTCTGTGCTTAAGGTCATTTCCAAAACAAATACGTTTCATTTGGTTACTCAGTTATATATTAGCAGACATTTTGACATCCATGAAGCTGAAGGTGTAGCAGCAAAATGATGGTTTACCTCGGTTAGGATATCTGTTGTCAAACATTGCCCATTCTTTCCCAGAATTACAGGAAAATTGATATATCAGTTACTGTCATTACTTGTACTTCTAGGCAATAAAATCAGTTCAAGCTGTTGAGTAGTTACTTACTTTATTGCTGTTCACATTAAGTCCAGGAGCTTGCAGAGGAGTGATTTTTCAGAAACTGAGCATTTGTTTCTCTAATTTCAGCAAGTTGCTGTATAGGTTGGGCTTTATCTTACTGGGGCCATCACTCGTCCCAGGTTCCGTTCTGTGCTGGTTCAAAAACTTGATTTCCTCAGGAGGAGTCAGGCTTTGGGAATTTATGTCATCCTAGCCAAACTCATAAGGTCTATTTGTAAACTAGAATATTCCTTTTCTGCACATTTATGGAACACCTACGGAGTGTGTGGCCCTGTCCTAATCTCTGGGGAAACAAAAATAAATCATAAATACGATGCAGTCCCTGCCGTTTAGAAGCGTATGGTCCAGAGGTGGGACAGTTATGTAAACAATACGTCACACACAGTGTGCTAAGTGTTGGATGACCTGACGTCCTGGGACTCCTGGTTTATGTCTGTTGTCCTGGTATAACTATTAATAGTGTCCCCTATCAGAACTATTGAAAGGCCACAGTAAAAGTCTCTATGAATGTTTGGGGTATAGAGATGGTAGAAAGGAGGGAGAAATCAGCCTGCTTCCCCAGAGTAGACACTCCAGCTGGGTGATGAAGGAAGCTTGGGCAGTCAAGGTCTGGGAGCTTGAGGTGGGGGTAGAGGGGAGGAATGTGCAAAACTCTGCAGGCAAAAGGGAGATTGTTCTGGAATTAGCAATTAGTTGGTTCAAGCTAGTCATTGTCTCCCAAATTTATCCTGTGAAAAAAATTCCCCAGGACACTTGGTAAAATGTAGATTTCCAGATCCTGCTGGCAATTTGGATTGTTTTTTAAAGAAGCACCCCAGATGATTCTTGGACATATTAAAGGTTCAGAACCAATTTTCTACTGATTATGGCTAAGAATTCAAAGGGCGGGGAGCAGAGGGGAGCAGGAGCACAAGACTAGCGCACAAGTCACACATCAGCCAGGCTGGGGTGATCCTGGTGAGAAAATGCTGAGAGGTGGAACCAGCTGGGAGACATTTACAGTAGAGCATGAAAAATGAGGAGTGCAGGAACTATGTCAGTCACAACTGGCATGCAGAATGAAAAGATTCGAGAACCAGTCAGGAGGATGCATGAACAGGACCTAGTATATGCCAGTTACTGATTTACATGGGGTAATATTATTTCCAGGTAACAAGACACTTGTGTCAAATCCAGGAACCTGGGAGACCTTATATTCTGAAGGTTTATGCCGTGAGCCATAAACCTAAAATTACAAGAGTTGGATAGTGTTGTGGCATATTTCATGTGGACCTAAAAAAAAGAAAGACTCCTGCTTACTTTACATCTTTGTAGTCTCTGAACACTAGTGACAGTTTTGTTTATCTCTGGGCAGGAGCTGGATGCATTCTAAAGCATCCTGACACCCCAACCCTTTTCTCTAGACTCCAGGCAAACCCTTGCCCTTCTGTTGTGGTAAGACTACCTACCTCGACTTATCTGGCATTATTTTTGCTTTTGATTTTGTTATGGAATGTGTAAGACAGTCACGATTCATCAACAGTATACCAGCCAACGGCGTGTCTCCCGCAGTTTCAGCACGACTTTCTTCCTAGATCCACCACAACTCTGGGAAATGACAGTAGTACAAGAAACACCTTCTCCAGGCAAGGAGATCATTAAGCCTGTTGAGCATTGGTGATTCGGAGAGCAGCAATCCCTAAATGGAAAATGAAGAAAATCCGAGGAGAGCTCTGCTATTCCTCTCTGCCTTCAAACATAAAGAGGGTTTTTATTTTGAAGGCTGCCTTCCCCAGGCCTGTTGGCATACTTCTGAAGCAGCTAACGAAGTCAGAAATCAAAGACTTGACAGTTATGAAAAGAAAGCCTCAAAAAGGAGAATGGGAACCCGATCAGGCTATAATTTCATGGGGTAATTTAGCACCCTTTACCCAAGACCTGGCCTCGTAGCGTCCACGAGTGCGGTTTGGGGAGGGACAAAGCCTCTGAAATTCCAGTCCTTGGCTACTCTTGTAGCGTTGCTGAGGGATTTCCAAAACCTGGGAGTGACAGGGTTGAAGGTGAACGGGCTGAAATCTTCGACGCTGTCAATATCAGGCAGGAGAAAAGCACAATCAACAGCGGCCTCAAAGTTTTTTTTCTAAGGGGCTTAACTTCTGTGCGATCCAATGTCACCAAAGCCATGAAGTCACAGTACCAAGATGAAAAAATAAAAATAAAAAAGGAAGGAGGAAGAGTCCAGCGCGCACGGACCCAGAGCACGGATCTCCCCCGCTGCTGACGCGGACGGAGCTGTTGGGGGCGCCCGGCCCGCGGCCCGCGGCCAGAGTCGCCGCCGGGAAGCCCCTGCCCGCAGTCCAGGCGCGACCAGCGTGGCGCCGCGGCGGGGGGATCCGGCGGGCGCGCCGCAGACTTCAAAGGCCCGGCGCCGCCGTCGCCCCCGCCCGTGCGCGCGAGTAGTACGGTCCGAGGGGGCGGCTCCTGGGGCGCGGCTCCCGCCGCAGCTGATGCGCGCCCGGCCGGCCGGGAGGCGGGAGCCCGAGAGCCAGAGACCCCGAGAGACGGAGAGCCCGAGCCGGGCCCTGAGGAGGCCCCAGCAGAGGCATCTTCGCGGCGGGCGGGGCCCGGCGCGGGGGCCGCCGCGGCCGCACGGTTTGGGAAGGAGGACGAGGAGGAAGCGGCGCTGCCTGCCGGCGAAGAGGAAGCACTCCGCCCGGGCCCCCGACGGCGCTCGTTTAACCACATCCGCGCCTCCGCTGGAAACGCTCTCAGGCGCCTGTCACCGGTTCCCTCCATTTTGAAAGGGAAAAAAGGCTCTCCCCCTTCCCCTCCTCTTAGGAGCTGGAGCCGGAGGAGCCGCGCTCATGGCGTTCAGCCCGTGGCAGATCCTGTCCCCCGTGCAGTGGGCGAAATGGACGTGGTCCGCGGTGCGCGGCGGGGGCGCCGGAGAGGACGAGGCCGGAGGGCCGGAGGGCGACCCCGAAGAGGAGGACTCGCAAGCCGAGACCAAATCGTTGAGCTTCAGGCAAGTACACGCATCCCTGCCGAGATGCAAACGTGCTGCCATCCATCCATCTGCGGCTCATTCTGTGTGCGTGTGTGTGGTCGCCCACCCGCGTAACCATCTTCACGGCAATGCTGCGTCCCTGCCCGTAACCAGGGCCCCCCGTGCATCCGAAAGTTCAGGATGTTCTGTCCTCCCGTGTGTTTTCTTTCCCCCATTTCCGTGTGAGCTTTCTGACCCTAAGCCAGAATTTGCAGTCTCTTCGCATCCCGGTCTGCCACGGTCACTTTCTCTAAGCTTCGATCCCCCAGCCCCCGCCCCTGCACACACACACACGTATATACACTGTCACTGGTAACTCTCGGTGGAACTTGGGGCCCTCACTGTGGGGAAGAATTCGCTCCCAGGCCCTCCTGGGGCCCCACTGTGTCCCGAAAATGCAGCCTTGGTGAAGAAGGTCGCGTGATGACAGGCCCCTGGCAGCTGGTGAGAAATGGTGGTCTCTGCTGAGCTGTCACCCATGTGATTGCGGAAGGCAGGTGACAGCATTTGCAGCCTCGGGCCGAGTGAGTTCAAAACAGGTAGAGGCCTTCCAAAGAGAAAGGCGTCATGGAGAGAATTGGCTTAATTTTTTAGGGGTTGGGGGGCAATATTAATTTTTAAGCCTCTGGGAGAGGGCTCTTGTGAGAAAAGGAGTCTGTTGGAAAGCGCTTTTTCTGGATGTCAGAGGGCAAGATGACCTCAAAAATAAATGCTGCTGGAGAAAAGCTCCAGAGGATGGAGGAGATTTCAGGGAGACAGGATGCCAGACAGAAGCCGGAGGAGGGCCCTGCTAGAAAACCCTCAGCAGCTGCCACAGGCCAATCCATGCTGAGGACCATTGGGTTGTAAAGTTAGGCAGACATGCTGGACTAGCCTTTGTGGATATTTAGATTATAAAGGGTGGCGGAAAAACCGTTGAAAGTGGTAATTCCTCATTTTTCCCCCTTGGCAGCTCGGATTCTGAAGGTAATTTTGAGACCCCTGAAGCTGAAACGCCCATCAGATCACCCCTGAAGGAATCCTGTGATTCATCACTAGGATTGGCAGGACCTGGGGCCAAAACCCAAGGTAAAAAGACTTTCGTTTTCTGCCTCTTTTGTTTTCAACTTTTGAAAATGTAAATGAGGGAAGGAAAAGTGTTAACTTCGGGCCATTTAAAAAGGTTTGGATTATCTCCTTACTGAGAAAGAGCTGTTTTAAAGCTCCTGGTTTATTTGAAGTGTTTTTTTGTTTGTGTTTTAGGAGCATGGTGGTCAGAGGCTTTCTTCCCTAAGTAGTTTGTACATTTGCAGTATGAGATTATCATTATCAGACATTCCTTCTGGGCCCTTCCCCTCAGCCCCTACAAAACAAAAATGTGTGTAGTAATGCAGTGGTGGAGGGATGTGTAGATTTGGCTTCATAAATTTCTCAGGCTAACTCACTTTCTATGGGGTGTGGCTGGAGACAAAAATTATAGATAAGAGTAGACTTTTATCTTAGATAAGGAGGAATCTTAAGAAGCTGTTTCAGAATTGTTTAGGTCTCCCTTTTCCACACAGGGCTGGTGGTGAGCCCCAGTTTACCTAAGGAAACCTGGCACGGAAATTCTCTCCTAGCCCCTCAGATCCCAACCGTGAGCCTGCCCTTCATCTACAGAAGATTCTGCTGTTCTGCTTAATTAGTAGAAGCCTTATTTGTCATGCAGACAGTTTTGAGTAAAATTTCACCTGTCCAGATAGAATTCATTTATCCATTCAGTAAACAGAATGTGCTGTGATTCAGCAGTGAACAAGTCCTGCTCTCAAAGGTAACATGGAAGGAGATGGACCTATAAAGGTTAAGCAAAATACATGTCAGCTTTCGTCTTAAGTATTATGGAGAAAAATAAAGCAGGGGGAAGAGGAATAGAGTGTATGGGGTGGGGATAGGGGATACTGAAGGGTAATTCGGGGGAGCCTTACTGATAAGGGGACTTGAGCAGAGCCCTGAAGGAAGATTGAAGGAACAGCCTTGCACATTCCTGGGGAGAGAACGTTTCCAGCGGAGGGACTGGCATCTACAAAGGTCTGAGACAGGACCAGCCTGGGTCAGGGGGAGGCCCCATGGTGGAGAGTGGCAGCATGTTTGAGGACCGATGAGGAGGCCAGTGTGAAGTGACTAGGCAGAGCAGTGAGAGCTCAAGTCAGCCAGGTAAAGGGCGGTCCAGAACATTTTGTAATGTTTTGATTTTCTTCCTGAGTGAGATAAGAAGCCATTGGAGGACATGTTAGCTTCTTAGGACCGCCCTGAGAAAGTGGCACAAATTGAGTGGCTAAAACAACAGAAATGTATTCTCTCATGGTTTTGGAGGCTAGAAGTGCGAAATCAAGGTGTCATCAGCGCCCTGCTCCCTCTAAAGGTTCTAGGGAAGAATTCTTCCTGTCTCTTTTAGCTTCCCGTGGTTGCTGGCAATTCTTGGTGTTCCTTGGCTTGTGGCAGCGTAACTCCAGTCTCTGCCACCTTCATTACATGGCCACCTCCCTGTGTGTCTCTGTGTCTTCACGTGGCATTCTTATGAAGACACCAGTCGTTGAATTTAGGGACCACCCTAATCCAGTATGACCTCATCTCAACTTGATTACATCTGCAGAGATACTATTTCCAAATAAGGTCACGTTCACAGGTGCGGGGAGTTAGGACTTCAACATATCTTTTTGAGGGAAGACAGTTCAACCCACAACAGAGGGCTTTGAGCAAGGGGATAGTGCTTTGACTTCCTTTATAAAAGGCTAGCTGGCTGCTGTCTGGAGAAGGGACTCTAGGATGGATGTATGCTTTCTCTACTCCATTGTCTATCACTGTCACCTTGCAGTGGCACATAGAGCCAGCTTTCAGTTATCTGCTTACCTAATTTTTGAACTGATTCCAACTTTCTCCTCCCAACAGTTATTGTATTTTGTTGTTTAGTAACTTCACAGGTTGCCCAAGGAAGAGGAGTTCTCTGTGATAGACTTCATGACGGAGCTGGAATTTTTGGTGAAATGACGGCAGCTTTTTGTGATTTGGTTTTACTGTACATTGTGAGCTCCATTTGGTGCTTCCCCTGCTGAGAATTCAGCAATACCCTCACCTTGCCCTGGGCTGCTCTTTCCCATTGTTTTAGGCGGAGACTGCATGGGAACTGGCAGGTTTATGTCTTGGGGAACTTGTGTGTGGCATGTTGCTTTGTAGCACTCTCCGTGATGGAAGATGCCGCTTGTTCTTCAGGGCTTCCTTTTTCTTCTCTCTAGATTGGCAGACCAGAGGGGAGATTTGCAAGCGTGAAAGAACTATTTTGTAGCCTTCCCATCAAATTTAAATAAAGCTCACAAGACAAGTTAAGTAGCTGTCTGAATGCCTCTTTGAATTGCCTTAAGCTTGGGCCAACCCCTTCCTCACCACTCTGTCAGTTGGTAGTCTGATTCATCCCGACAGATTCTTTGCTAATTGAATAGAGGCCTGTGTGGCCCCCAGAGCCATAGAGACCCAATTGTTTGGTCCTTGCTGTGCCACTGACTCATTAACACAAGTTTTGGTAACTTCTAGCTCACACTCTCTTTTTCACTCTCTCTAAAATTTTTTCTCTTAGTGAGTCATGGACCAGAAAAGCTGTGGGGAGTAGTTCATGATTCAGACCATGTATATGGTGGGGGGGTGAGGAGTGGGGGTGTACAGTCTAGGAAACAACCACTGCATATTATGAAATCTCTCGATTTAGGGTCTTTAAATAATAGGATGATTGCTCATCGGCCTGGTAGTATTCTGCCTTCTAGGGCTCCTTCCAGCCAACATCTAGAGCTAGCTAGTCCAGGGTCCTGTTGATGGCCTTGTCATACGTACACAGTAAATATAAAAATACAACCAAAGCACAGGTCTGACCAGGGAAGATATCAGTGGGCGAAAATTCCTGGAGAGTCATTTTATGTTGAAGTCTAATTTCTGGGCCTGGATGGTGCTCTTTCTCCCAAAATTGTTTGATTATTTGGCTCCTGATTAAGTTAGTCTTTCATATTTCTGTGGTTCCAGGGCATGGTGGGACAGCAGGTGTAGATTATATAAGACTATCTTCTGGAGGGATGATTTATGAGTTGTTAGCCACCCAGGGGTTGGAGTTAACATGTGTAAAAGATCCTGGCTCCCTGGTATAGTAATAGCCCTCAGATGTGCAGGCTGTAGCCCACATACCATAGCCATGGCCCCGACCTCAACCTCCATCTAATTCTTTGAACTCAGGGAAACATCTACATCTCTTTTGAAGTTAATTTTTTTTGTAAGTTTTCTTTTTTAGGGACTTGCAGTATCTGAACTCTATAATAACTCTTCTTAAGGTAGAGCTAGAGTATGTCACTCTCAGAATTAAACAGTGGATGAGGTTGTGGGGGGTTTTTTAAGCCACAGATAGAAGCCAGTTCAGACGAACTGGTAAAATAAAAGTATAGCTGAAGAGGTTTCTTGAAGATGCCAGAGTGGTGGCTCTGATGTTCGGGCTGGTAGTTCTGTGTTTGCTGTCTGTCTGCCTTCCCCCACAAAGGGTGTTTAAGCTGCTGCTGTTACTGTTCTTTTTGCTGGGAGATGTTATCAGTGAGGAGACATCACTAAGAAAGGACTTGAAAGAGGTACAATCTCAAAGTCATCCCCCCCCTTTTTTGGTGCTTATGGACTGTGGTTTTGTCCAATAAAAGCTGTGGGGGGCATCCTCCGCTACTTGAGGCCGCCCCCCCCCCCATCTTTATTTACAGATTGTTACCTTTCTTTGAGAAAGAGAATCTTAATTCATGCTGAAGCTCTCATATGCCCTTGGTAAACCTACCCTGTTTGATATGTTAATTAGATGCCTGGGAATTTCAAAGACATACTGTAGTCCTCCAGAATAGAAGGAAAGAGATGAACAGGACCCATCCACAGGTATTTACTGCTGGAGGCCTTGTGGGGAATGCGGGGTGGTTTGTTGACACGATTTTGGTAGTCTAGATCAGGAATCAGCAAACTGTGGCTCTGAGACCTCATCTGGCCTGCTGCCTGCCCGAGAGCTAAGAATTGTTTGTATGTTTTTAAATGGTTGGAAAGAAAATATTTTGTCACGTATGAAAATTATATGAAATTCAAATTTTAGGGCCCCAAAATAGAGTTGTGTTGGAATGCAGCCACCCTCGTTGATGTAGGTGTCGTCTGTGGCCCCTTCCGCACTACGGTATCATGGTTGAGTAGTCAGAACAGAGACCAAATGGCTGGCAAAGCCTAAAATATTTTCTCTCTGGCTCTTTACAGAAAAGTTTGCCAACCTAGATCCACACTTATGATTTGGTAAAAAATATAAAGTTTAAGTAATTTGGGGTGATGACTTAAAAAAAGGTGGCAAGGCTATAACTGATTAATTAACAAATGAGCTGTGGGTGTTGGTGCCTTCAGTGTAGGCTGTATCGGCAGGTAAGTCTTCAGGGAGAGACTGGTTTGGGCTGGCTGTTTGTCTTCCTTGCAAAACAGAAATGATGTGATTGGTCTGTCAATATACCTGATTTTCAGTTGACTAAAAGGGATCTGAGAAGTTACAGAAAAACGAAATTAGGGAGGAATGGGGAGAATTTTGGAATCATTTGCTACAAGTGCAAACAAATAGACTTTTAACTTTTGCCCGATAAGTGTCAATGTAACTTTGGGTGTTTGAGAATTTGTAAGTTGACCGTTGATATGGTATGTTGTTGGTTTATGTTGTGTGGTTGATATGGTATCTTTATTGGAATATTTTAGACTGTACCTATATAAGACCTAGAATGAAGATCTTGTTAAAATCTATGTTTTAGATTTTCAAAAATCGAAAATGTCCTCTCCCTGTCCCTACCACAGGGATTGCTTTATTAGAATTTCCTAGAAGTAATGGGACTAATAAGGACCTTTAACGTTACCTAGTCCAACAGTTCAACCCATGTGGCTCCTCTGACAACATCCCAAGCTAATGCTTTTATTTTTATTTTTTGATGTGATTGGCTCTTTCACAGTTTAATTTAAATATTTATATTATATTATTTTAAGATATTTAAGGCTTGAAAACCTTAGCAGCATGATTCAA